CCTGGCCAGTCTCCTTAGTCACCTCATCTTCCTACCCTAAGACATCCTTGTTCTGCCCTGTGATCTAAACCTTCCGGCCTCACCCCTGCTTATCACTTTCCTGGGCAGCTCCCTGTCTACCTTCCTATAAACTCTAAACCCATGGGCATTGCCTGCTGTCCCTTCATGCAGGATGACCTTACATGTACTCCTCTCCCCAACCTTGAGGTTTCTGTTCAAGCAATACTAAATCTCTCTAGGTTTTCAGATTGTGTCATACAGAGGACAAAATAAGGATTTGCCTTTGTTAACAAATTTCAAAAAGAAATATGTTTCCCTTTTTAATTTTATGAAATACATAAGAAATATTTAAGAAACTCCTCTGCCTGTGCTCTCTCTATTTCCCCAAAAGAAAGGAAAAGTCGTCATGGTGAAGAAGTGGCAGCTGCCACCAGGCAACACCACAGGCCGACCTGTGCTCAGGAGAAAACACTACCACTCATCTTCAAGGTTACCAGTAGCTTACACACTCAGTACACTTCACTAGCAGCAGATTATAGAAATGATCCTTGAAAATACATTCTTGGCCTGAAATCAACTCAGGTTTGTGTGGAAAAACACACACACATCTTGTTGAAGATAAGCTGTTTTTCAGAACTCGATATTGGGGGAAACTTTTAAAACTTATTACCAAGAAATACTTTCAAACAACTAACATAAACTTTTAATGAAATATTTCTGATTTTGAAAAGTAGTACTTAAGAAAGGTTTAATATGAAAATTTCTAATTAACATGTTGTTTTTCAGTACCCACTATCTTTCAACTTAGAATATTAATGTTTATAGAAAGAGAAATGGAAAAGGGTTATTTGTGTTGCCTTGACACTGGGAAGTGCCTTTAGTTCAAGACCTAGAAGGGGAAGAAATGAAAAACTATGAATTAATTAGTGTCTTCAGAAAGCATGTGTTGAGATGTCTAGGACAGCCCCAAGCTGTCAGGGATGTGTGGTGGGATTCAAGGCACATTGTTATCACCTCATTTTAAAGCAAAAGAAGACACTGACTTCAACAGCATGAAGAACTCACTGACCCTCTCCTCAATGAGACTAGTGAAAACTTTTATGTATATTCATATGTATTTACATATCTCCATTTGAGGCCTCTGAAAATAGTCCTGAGGGCAAAGAACAAATGAAGAACTGTTCAGAACATCTATGAAAATTCAGTGAGAAACGTGAGAGTCTGTGGTATTTAAATCTGGACTGCCCTCTTCCTTTGCCCTCCCAACTCAGACGGGCAGTGATTCCACTCTGGGCTGCTGTAACCAAGAGCCCCTCACTCAGCACCCGGATGGAGGGCTTTCTCTCCAGGAGGAACAGGAACAGGACCTCAGCATCTGATCCTATCCCCAGCTACATCAATGAGAGCAACTCCTGAGCTGGTGAGATGGAGACATGGCGTTACCCTSCTTCTGCACAGCCTTAGCTCTTGGAAGGGAAGCTCACTTTATGCACAACTCACTGAGAATACTGGAGCCCTGCTCACTCTTGCCCTGGCTTGTGGGACAGTGGTTCCATTCCAGGGGAGTAGGCAAGGCAAGAAGGCCTGAAGCTATACCCTCCTTCTAACAAGCACATAACTCCAATAGGGTTTCAATCAGAAAGAAGCTCACCACCGTCTTCAGTCCCATATCCACAGCTCTGTCTCAGAGATCTGCCTTGGTAGAGAAATAAGCCTTAAAACAACTTCTGATCTCAAAGAACTGACTTTGAACAGAGAGAMTAAAGATGTCTGAACCTATAGGTGTTGTTAAGACCACGGATTCGTGATAAAAGGCAAGCGGGAGGTTCAAGGTAGAGGTAAAGTTTCGATCTCTACCACTGCAAAACCAAACCAAAGAAAGAAAGAGACAAACAAACTTTGACCAATATTTTTTTCCACCTGTGCTAGATAGAGATTGAACCCAGCCCTCTCAGCCCCGTGGCCAGCATCTCGATTTCTTGATGGCAACATTGTGGAAAAACCAAGTCACAATCACTCAGCTCTATCACTTCTGGATTCCTCTCCCACATACCACGAGACAGTAAATGTTTATTGTTTTAAGCAACTGAATTTTGGAGTAATTTATTGAACAGCAAGATAGATATGCAAATAGTGAATACAAGTGTATGTATACATGCATAAATAGGTGTGTGCATGGCTTCTGAAGCAACATCAAGGTCTTTTTTAAATTTTTTTTTTTTTAGTTGTAGATAGACACAATATCTTTATTTATTTTATGTGGTGCTGAGGCACGTGCRAGGCAAGCGCTTTACCACTGAGCTACAACCCCAGCCCAACATCAAGGTCTTTTATGCAGGAAAGATATACAGCTTGAGGTCTTACATCTATTTTTCACTTTTGAGAATTTGTCATGCCATAGCCTGGGATCTKTCAAAGGTTTTGGAAGGCCAGCACCTGATTGTTTAGCACAGTATAAAATAGATTCACTTTTCTGGGCAGACTCACCTGAACCAGACTTAGGAGACTAATATGGCAAAATTAATGCTAGTTAATTAATTTGTAATAAAACACAAAATAATCATGCTGATCAGAATACCAGAACATTTGAGTCTCTGTGATGAGTATGTCTTTCTCTGAAGGCAAAATTAAATGCCAAAAAATAAGTAGATGTTACATGAACATAGAACAATGGGAGTTTAATAAAGGCTTCAAATGTTTCCTGCCAGCAGGTTAATGCTCACCCTTGGGATCACTTCATTAGCTGAATCAGACACCTTGACAACTACTGGCTACGACTCGATATGTCTCTTTGCCCCAGGATGGGGCAAAGAGACATATCGAGTGGCCATCAGTGGGCCTGGCAATTCCCCAAACCACTGGGCTAAGTCTCCTTCCTTTTCTGGCTGGTCACTGGCCAACTTTTCATGTTGTAACTCTAGTTTTCTAAACTACTATGATGACCAACCCCTCTTTATAATGAGAGATTTTTTTTTGGGGGGGGGAGTGGGTTCATACATAGATCAGGTCATAGTCTCCTCTTGCTGGCATCTTTAAAGTAAATTAAAACAAAGCATTTTTAATGGGTAACTATATGAAGTGATGGTTATGTTACTTRGCTCAATTGTGGAAATGATTTCATAAAGTATATGTATGTCAAATCATCACACTGTACACCTTAAATATATACTTTTTTATTTTTTTTTTTACTTTTAGTCATGCCCCAATAAAGCTAGAAACAAAGGACTTATTATGAGTCAGACATCTACCCAAGAACTTACTAATTCATTATCTCAATCTTGAGAAGCAGATACTGGGCATAGAGGCTGCAATAATTAGCAAAACAGACAAAAAATCCTGATGTAACAATAACCTGACATGGGGACTTTGCCTAGAATACTTCATTCCCTTATGTAATGATGTCCAAGCTCTCCTTCCTATGACTATAAAATATAGAAATAAATAAAGTTGTCTTCCTGTAATCAGTTTATGAAATGATTGAGCTGACTCTATGCTCTTTTGATTTTACTCCATGAAGTTGTTTGGTAGAATCATTAAAACCACAGCTTGTTCTTCATGCTAAGGTAAGGTCAAGAGAGGCATGATGGATATTGGGTAAGTAGGAACATGGAAGGGGACTAAATAAGATTCTTTAGGTACATTTTGTAAGTTTTGTAAAACTCTGCAAAACCTTCTCATCCTTAGATGGGTAGGGCAGCAGGGATAACTTGGGAATGTTAGAAAATTCTGCCTTCCTCCTGTGAAGGTCTATCATTATTCTCTGCCTCACCCATAGGGACAGTCCTAGCAAGGGTGATAGTCAAGTTGTTCTGAGTATAACAATATATAGAAAAATCCTCACTACCACCAGTCACAATTCTTTGCCTCTTCTCCCTTTTAAGCTTCCTTAAGTGTATGACATTTTTTTTTTTAAGGTGGGAACAATAGGCAAAATTCAGCCATTCTGAAATTTTGATTGTATGATTCCTTGTTATTTTTAGGATATGTTCTTGTTCTAATTAACAAAGCTGTAGTTAAAATAGAAGACCCTGTCTTTCCTCAAAGCACCTTGAATTCTGCCCTTAGAACCTGGTCTTCTTTCTTAGGATCATGTATAAGCTCATGGCAAGCCAGAGAACGTGGAAGCAGGCTACAGAGATTAGTTGTTTTCTGAGAATTTTGTTTTCATGCAAGGTCAGTAGAAAACTGTGGAAGGCTTTAAACTGGGAAAAACCAAAAATAATGTCTGCATTTCTGAGCTATCTTTTTTGGTTGCTATGTGGAGAAGAACCAAATGAGAGGCCAGACAACCAATGAAATAGTTGTTACTTGCAGTGATCTGAGGATAAAGGCTGGTAACATGTATTAGAAATATGGATGGGAAGATGAGAAAGCAAGGATTCTTGAGATAKTTGATGGTGCCCAGCATAATTTTAGGCTATTTACCACGGAGAGACAGAGAAGAACCAAGATAGCACTTTTTGCCTSGAGCAACAAAATGGATGTTGAAGCCAATACTGGGAAGGAAGCTTAAAGAAGACTATGTTGAATGGACATGCTGAATTTGAGGTAACTTTCGGACACTGATTCGATAAAATGACCAATAATCACATTAGTTTAAGTATTAAATCCTTCCAGAAGCTCACTATTCCCGAGAAACACAAATTTCTTTTCATTTTGGTTTTGTTTTATGTTTTGGTTGCAGGGGTTGGAACCCCGGGGTCTTGTGCAAGCAGACTTAGCTGCCACTTAGCTGTACTCTCAGCCCCTCAAATTTCCTAACAAGACTTAAAATTTACATTTTTTTTGCTGGATCTCTCCTAGTTGCCTAGTCCAAACTGAAATTTAGTTCCTTAAAAGGGTATTGCTGTCTGTAATCTCAGGGACTTTGGCCAAGCTGTTTCTCAGGAGGAAGTCGCGAAAGAGAAGCTCTTGCATATTTTGTCCCATAACACCCACCATCTGGCTGCATTCATCGCATTGCTTTCTGGGAGTTGTAGTTTCTACCTGAGTGAGCCAACATGGCCGCCTCCACCTTAGGTGGTTGTGGGGCTGCCATGGCCTTGGCCCAGAGCTTCCGAGCCGCCAGGGCGCTGTTCCCTGCACCTGCCTCTGTGGCCTGCGGTAAGTGGAGCGGGGCTTTAGTACTGGGGCCCGCGAGGGTCATGCTGGAGAGAGGTGTGCAGGAGCGACTTGGTTGTTGGTCTACAGGTTGTTAAAGATTGCCGGGCTCTGCCTGTCTCTGGCTGCGCGGAGAGTCCTGATCTCTGTTGTTCACTTCTTTTGCAGGGGTCCGCGCGGGGCCCGGCCGGCAGCAGAGCACTGGGCCTTCCAAGCCCGGCGAGTTCCGGCCGCCACCGAAACCGGTCATTGTGGATAAGCGCCGACCCCCGGACCAGGACAGGAGGTGAGGCTGTGCTGGGCGGGAGGCGGACTGGCTCCGAGGTCTGGCTGGCCGGCGCGGCCCGGCACCCCTCTGCACGTGCGCGTGTGGAGGCCGCCGGCTCCGTCTCAGCTCAGTTCTGTCCTCACCGCTTGTCTCCAAGCTAGCATCGAACTTCTTTGCAGTTTTAGTAAGTCAGAACTTCAAGTAGGAATTCCCCAGACTTGAAGCTCTTTTACTATACCATAGTTTTCCTCTGAGGCACATCTTGTTTACACCTGTTTGTATCGGAGTTGGTCTTTTCTCCCCCAAATCCTTCACCATACGTAGAAATCTGTTGGCCAAAAACTTTGCTCTTCAAACAGTCTTAAGTAAAATTCTCGGTCACTTAAATGAATATTGGTAACCTAGGCAATACGTGCAAATTTAAAAGTAAAATTTATAGGAAGTGTTTCTGTAGAGCCATGTGAAATTTTTKAAAAGCAAATTTTAGGAGGAAAAACAGTGTGATTAGAGGCTTTCTGGAAGGGCTGTAGGTTGTTGATTAGATTTCAATTTTCTTTAAAAAAAAAMCATTTAAAATATTCTGTAGTTCTAAACTGAAATAAACTTTGATTTAGGGAACTKAGCAATTCAGAAAAAGATATTCTTTAACTTTTGTTTTTCTTTTGAAGGTGGAAAAGGTATTTCTTAGTGGCTAGCTCTTAATAAAATTCATTTAAGGAATGTAAACTGTATACTCTGGAAACAATTTGGTAAAATGTAGTAAATTTGAAGTTATGTATAACTTTCCACCTAGAAGGCAYTCAACTTAAAGGTACTCTAACACATATGTACAAGAATGAACATGACATTATTGTAACAAACTAAAAATGAGAGGTGGCTAAGATATCCATCAGAGGTGAATAGGCAAATRTAATCATACATTGAAATATTGCATAATAGTGAAAAAACAAATGAATGAGAGCAAACAAGATATAGATTAAYTTCACAAACATGATTTATGTAAAAAACAACCTTTAGAATAATTGATATAGTATAATACCATTTTTATATGAGTTTAAAACCATGCTAAACAYTATTATACATTGCCCAGACATACATGCATATGTGAAGGGGACATGCTCCACCTTCACCAGGCTATCAAACCTAATGCAATTGTGGCAAGATTTCATATTATTATAATGGGCCTCCTAATATGACAGAGTAAGACACTGCCATCATCTCCTGTAATATTCTTACCCMAAATGCTTAACCTTAGTCTAGGCTTGTGGAAAAAATAAATCCAGGGTCCAGTGATGGTCTCTAATATACTGGCCTTGACTTTTCTCACTCTCTTTTTAAAACAAATTTCACCCCTCTCTCCTCCCAGTACTGGGGGTCTAACCTAGGTCCTTGCAAAWGCTAGGCAAGGACTGTACTAATGGAGCTGCATCTTCACCCTGGCCTTGGCTTTTCAAAAGAGTCAATGTTAATAGAAATACAAAGCTGGGGAATAGTACCAGGTTGAGACTAACAGYCAGATAAAATGTGTAAAGCTTGATTATATTTTGAAGTAGGCAACAAACAGATATAAAAGATCTTTCCATGATAATTAAATACAATTTGAATATGAACTATATATTAGAATACATTATTGAATTAATGCTAATTTTCTTAGGTGTCATAAAGGTATTGTGATAATGTGGAATAAGTCCTTGACCTTAATTATTGAGAATAATATGCCTTGCTCTTAGATATTTTCAAATGTTTAGGAAAAATATGCACATATAAAGCAAATATAGCAATTTAAGCAGTTGGTAAAGGTGCATGGTTATGGTTGTATCATGCCAACTCTGGTTGGTTTGAGAATTTTCAGTTGAAAATTGAAGAAAAGAAAAATTTATGGGACTAATAACCAAATTTWCAATAGTAGAGTAGGAAGGATGCACAGGAGCTTCAACTACATTGCTAATTTATTTATTAAGATGGGTGAATATTAATTTTAATGTCATTTATGCTTTTTCTATATGTGAAATATTTCATAACAAGTTTGAAATCAGTTAAGAAAATAGGAAGATTATTTTTAAAGTCAGTTTGTAATTGGTGTTTTATATGTTTATACCTTTTCAACATAATTTATTGTTACAACTCAATGTGAAGGAGGCCTGTGGTTATTATCATAGGTTTTGGAGACTTACAGACATATTTACATTTAAATCTTGACTTGATAAATTTATAATTAATATAATAATGGATCAGTTACTTATTCAAGCTTCAGTTTCTTCACCTTTAAAAAAGAATTGATAATACTAAACCTATCTAGTCTCTAAAAAGATTAATTTATGCTACTGTGTCAGTCAGCTTTCTGTTGCTGTGACAGAGTACCCGAGRTAATCAATTTAAAGGAGGAAGTATTTTATTTAAGCTCATGGTTTCAGAAGTTTCAGTCCATTGTTGCTTGGATGAGTCCTTGTTGCTTTTACCTGTAGCATAGTACATCATGGAATGAGTGTGTGGCAAAAGAAACTGCTCATTTCATGGTGGTTGGAAAGCACAAAGAGAGAGAGTTCAGGGCGAGGGTCCAAAACAATCCTTAGAGACTTGTCCCMACTGTCCTAACTTCCTTCTTCTGGGCCCCAACTCCTGATGGCTCCACTATCTCCTGATGGTGCCAACCAAACCTTTAGCATATAAGCCTTTGGGGTTACATTTAAGATCCAAACTATATCAGCTACTTAGATGTTTCATAAAGCCTTTAAACAAAATTCTGGGTGAGTACTCAGGAATTGTTAGCTGTTTTCAGGAGCATTAACAATAATTTTAGATACCACAGTTTTAGAAATAAAATTGCCTTCCTAATTTAGGAAGTGAAAAATAACATGTCAATACCATATTCTTWCATTTCTTTTTAAAGCAACAGGTTTTTCTTTTAGTGGCCTAAGTTTGTTTTTAATTCATTTTGTTCTTTGTATTTTTTAACAGGTTCTTGAGTCCTGAATTCATTCCTCCAAGGGGAAGAACAAATCCTCTGAAATTTCAAGTAGAAAGAAAAGATATGTTAGAAAGGAGAAAAGTACTCCACATTCCAGAGTTCTATGTTGGTCAGTAAGAGCTGGATGCCTTTATTCTTAGTAGTTGGAAGGTTAGTTTTCCCTATTGCAAAGAACACTATTCTTTACATATCAGGGTTTTGCCCGAGGAGGCACTTATTCCTAATATTTTATTAAAAAGTTTAGGAAGGTCAATTACCTAGAAATGTTATTTGTTTCTGCATCTCATATACAAGTTCACTTCTCTTTTGAATTGGTAGGAAGCATACTTCGTGTTACTACAGCTGACCCATATGCCAGTGGAAAAATCAGCCAGTTTCTGGGTATTTGCATCCATAGATCAGGAAAAGGACTTGGAGCTACCTTTATTCTTAGGAATACTATTGAAGGACAAGGTAAGCTTAATTTTATTATTTTAATTGTCTAGAAAATGTTATCTAAGGATTCCTTTTTGTTTTTTGCTTCCTGGAACAAGACATCTGAAACTTAAAAGTGAATTGGTGGGGGGACGAGGGACACCTCTGAGGAAAGGTAAGGACCTTCTGGCCTTAGAATGGATCCAGAATTGTGAGTTGTGGTTACAGCTTACATACAYTTGGTGGTCTGCTTATTCTTGATGCTTCCTTTATTATAGGGACAACAGCCATTAGAAGTGTACTCACTATAGCAACAGGRGAGGAAACAAGTGMCTATAAAGCATTGGTGATATTCYTTTTAGGAGTAAATAACCTATGAGAACATTAAGACAGACATAACAATGTTCTATGAATTACTTGCTCCTAAAATGAATCTTCCCATTTTGCTTTATRTTATGACAGAAAACAGTCACCACAATTATACTGTTTTATAAACCTTGGAGGCATTTAAAGCAGGCAAAATTGTGTTTGTATGCTATGTCTAATAAGGTAGATGAATATGTAAAATTCTAGGAAGATTATGAATTTAAATGGCAGGACATGTAAAGTTTTTGTAGTTAAAAGTTGTATGCCTCATGGTTTCCAGTGGTGAAGTWTTATTTTCAGAGAAGCTGATAATATGAGAGTAGTTGCTGTCTTGTTTATTCTGTAATGACAGGTRGGGTTGATACATAGGAATTCAGTAGGACTTGATCGATTACAGATTCTGGTATCTCCCATCAAGTCATGTACTTGAAGTCTTTGTTTTTTGGTACTGGGGATTGAATCCAGGTACTGGGGATTGTACCACTGAGCTACATCACCAGCTGTTTTGAGTTTGTATTTTGAGATAGTCTCACTAAGTTGCTTAGGGCCTTGCTAAGGTGCTGAGGCTATCCTCAAACTTGCAATTGATTCTTCTATCTCAGCCTCCTGGTGTTCACCCATCATGCTTAGTTTGAAGTCTTGAAATAGAAATGAATATAACTGTGAGTCAAAAGATGTGTTTTATTTTTC